CTTGACCCAAGCATACTTTGTGGTAGTTTCTTCTTTTCCCAGTCAAGCAAAATAAACTCACGTTCAGATGTTGAATTGCAGATCTCTCTAATAAATCCCTGTAATTGGCACACCAGTCTGTTTTAAAAGCATAGTGTGGCAATGCTTGTATAACACAAGTGATTTAGTTGCCTTTGCCTTTTTACAAATGCCCCATGCTTAGAACTTCAACATTTCTCCTTTTTTGTTTAAAAAAGGCGTTTGCTCAGAGATAGAATTTAACTCATCTGACTAAGTCCCATGACAAAAAAAAATGCTTAAGACTTATTTTAACCTATTATTAATTGAATTTGCTTAAAATGGCGTTTAGCATTTAATTTTGATTTGTACCATGTATTGAATAAAGATAAAGTAGAAGCGATAAATTTAATAATTTGTCCCTCATGACAAAAGCATCCCTTACTGAAGCACAGATATTTTAACACATTCATGCCACACATTTTAACACACATTTTCATTAACATTAAACTAATTTTCACATCTATAACAGGGCTCATTTGGTGTAGGCCCTGTTACAGTACCACTAACCCACTGGAGCATGAAAGGCATTGTGAACTTGAAGTGTCAGATGACATGCCTTTCCATGCACAGAGCTGGTTTGCCCGCCTGTGGGCTGTGTGACTTTCAGTGATGGGGAAATGCTGGGAGATGGCAGAGGCAAAGTACTCTCTTTCATTTTTACTGGCACAGTACATGATGTCGCCTGTCTTCTGACACACAAAAGCAAAGTAAGCGTCGATCAACACTGTCTAATCAGACTTCTCATATATGAATGGGAACCAATCTCTCTATTTTAACAAAGAGATAACAAATTAAGACATTTTTTGGCCTATAGTAAAGGAAATCAGAACTTCTAAATAAATAAGACACCAAGCTGTCTTCTATAATAAAAGGTTAGAGTCTGTTACTCTTTCAGATCAGATTACCCTGATAGAAATTTCTTTCAAGTCTTATTGAAAACAGGAGCTCTTTCACAGTATAGCTTCTGCTGGTAAGGTGATGACATCTGTACCTCATTTCTTCCTGTTCTTGCCTTACAGTTCTTCCATCTTTTCCTCTTTTCCTGTATTTATGCTATAGTCCATTCCTAAGGATGCTGGCACTAGGATTTGCCTGCCAGTGTTCACTCTGTGTTTTGTAATAAGTTGAGGTCATAATAATTTAATAGTAAAGTTAATTATGCTGCTTGTGGCAGGGGAACTTAGTAAGCTGAGCAGGTGGTTTGGTGCTGCAGCTAGTTTGGGACTCACTGACTAGGAGGAAATCTGATAAAACAAGGTCAAAGCAAGCCAGGGTTCAAACACCTTGTAGATGCCAAGGACCGATATTGGAATGAGGTTGATACAAAGCAGAAATTAGGAATCCAACAAAACACGGGTGAAAAACATACTAGAGACTTGTAGGAAAAAAGGTTGGCAAGTTCAGGAACAGATCTCTATAACAAAATCCTGAGCAGAGTCAAAGCAGCCCTTAAATATCCCTGAACCACCTGAACCAGGAGAGATAGTTAATAGTCTCCAGGTGATTCAGGTCTCCTGTCAAATCAGTGTCCATGACATCTGGTGCTGAGTAGCAGCTGGGTGAAGCAGTGGTAGGTGAATGGCCCACAGACTAGCAGTTGGGGCGAGCACCATACTAATACCATACAGTACTATTGTTCCAACACTTCCAAATAAGGTGATCAAGATCAAGGAAAAAAAGCCACTCTTATCTGAAATTTACTTGCTCCCATTTACTGCAGCTGTATAAAACAGAGAATAATTATTGTACGGTGGGGTCATGAATCAACAGTTTCTTTGATTTGTTATACTGTAAGTAGAATTTTGCGTTTTATATATAATACTAACAGGGGGCAATGTTAGTTAATGACCATTAGTTAGGGTGGAGTTGTGTGGCTCAAAGGTTGCTGGTTCAAATCCTGTGGCCGGCAGAGGAATCCTACTCCGTTGGGCCCCTGAGCAAAGCCCTTAACCCCAACTGCTCCAGGGGTGCCGTATAAATGGCTGACCCTGTGCTCTCTGACCCCAAGCTTCTCTCTCCCCACCTGTGTGCCTGTGTGTCTCAAGGAGAGCAAGCTGGGGTATGTGAAAAGACAGATTCCTAATGCAAGAATTTGCATATGGCTAATAAAGTGATCTTATCTTATTAGAATTAAAATAATAAAATAAAAATAAAAGTTAGGGTGTTCAAGTTTAGTGAGCTGTGTAGAAAATGAAATTCACAATATCAGTGATTTGCCTTTTACAGAAATCAATACATGAGTTTCCAGGAAGGGGAATGTGATGACTCTTGGTATGCAGTTATCATTATGTGAAGGAATCCCTATTTCCTTTTAAGACTTTGTTTAAAGAGTCTAAATTTTAACTTGAGTCCCTTGAGTACATACTATACATTGCCGATTGTCAGTGCAAGTAACTGGTAAAACAAAAACCCTTACCACCAAAATAAACCTCTTAGACTTATTACATTAAAACAAAATATATTCCACTTGTAAATATCAAGGGAGCCTAGATTTATCACAATGTGTGTGTTTGGTTTCATTATTCACAGCATGCTTGGTAATAAAAAACATTTTCACAGGGACAAGACTATCCTTCCAATTCATTTTAGGTTTTATAACCTGCTGATGCTGTCCAAATTGTAAAGACTATACTTTTGTACTTTTGCTGCCTTTCATATTTACAGCAATAATAATGCATTTCCACGTAGTCTCCACCTTTGGTTCTTCATTGTCAAGAGTGAAACACAAACCTGAGGGCACAAGAGGAAATTGAAGGAAGTGAATTTAAATCCGAAAACAAGAGGCTGGTTGGGAAGAATGGCCTCATTTGTAATCTTTCTTGTGTTCTTATAAAACATGCATGCAAGTGGACTCAAATGAGGTAGAAAGATTTAACTTTCAAAATGTTGATGTTATCTTAAATACAAGAAATATTTCCAACTGTTAAGCATTCTGTTCCTAGTAACGCAATAGCCAAGAACATGTTTTTCTGAAAATAAGAACATAAAAGTGATATGTTCGAGATCTGCATTATATCTACAGTAGATGGTCATGTCCACTCTGTCAGACAGCATAATTCATAATTATTGTGCAAGGTGGGAAATATTACCTAGGAGCTGATACTGGTGCTATCAGTGCTGTTGGTGTGCAGTACAAGAATGAGGTGATTAGGAGATTCTCCAGCTCATTCAGCTGTTGATTCTGTTTCCTAGGAACGCTAGCTATTGTAATTCACAACACTGAGGACATAAACCTTTTTCAGGGTGCACAGATTTTTAGTCTAAGCAAGTGGACCATAAGAAGTACCTATGGTTTTGTCACTGTTTTTTATCATGTTTCAGGCACTTGAGACCGTTCTAATGAGTGTTTGTGTTTTGCTGCCAAGCCAGTTAGCCACTTAAGAGTGTATAGACAACTGAGACAAAGGCAGAGCTGAAGAGAGCTGGGGCAGAATTGAGTTTTCACTAGCTGTGAATGCATAGAAAGCAGAAAGAAACCTAACTGCAGGGCTACATGTTTATTTGAAACCCAAATAAAGGACATAAGAGCTGCATACAAGGAGACCAAGGAGACAAGGAGACCTTGTTTAGTTGCTCGTAGCTCATTGATACCACATTGTCAGCTTCAACAACATGGCTGGGTAGTTGTTTTAGACACCCACTATTCCTTGTGCAAATAAATTACTCCAAGTTTCAATCCTATGTAATTTCCAAGGTGGTAAAACCAACAGATTACCAAGTTTGTTTCCTTTGGTTTTACGTGATTTATCTTTTACCTGTGAAAATTTACCTTAAAAAAGCAAACTCTAAAAATTGACTTCATTTCTGCTGCCTGATCTTCCCATTCTCTGCACTAAAGTTCAGGAAAGCAGGAAAGGGAATCATTTAGTGTCCTTTCTTAAGAAACATGGATATATGCGAAAAGAAAAATTCCTAATGCAAGAAATTGTTTATGTCCAATAGAGTGATCTTAATCTAAATATATTAGTGCTTCCGTTTGTTATAAACTGTGAACATAGTGCAGACGTACAGAATGTTGAGGGCAGGTCCTATTAAACAAGTATGCTGTAACTTTCATTGTTCAATAGGTGGTGCTGCAGTTTATATATAATTAGAGACGCCAGAAAAGGGACCAACAGCCTGATGAAGTTTCACTCTTATTAAAACAAACTGGCAGCTGATGTTACCCATTTAACCTCATTTCTATAATTACTAAGGAAATGTTAAAATTTTTAAATGTGAACGCATGAAAACATTGAATGTTATTCCTTCTGGCCATCTTTTCTTTTAAAAAATGTGTCATTTCCAATGATTTTGATATTATATATAGTTTAAAACTCTCGGCACAGCTCCCTTACCCAGTCAGGAGATAGGCAGACACGCTCCTCTTACACCCCACTTGCAAGGCCACTTGCCATTTGGAAAGTTACCAGTGCCTCAGTGACTTATGCACAGGGAGGCTTCAGCAGATGAAGGAGTGGCAGTTTGCTGGCTGATTTCAATGCAAGCCTACCAACGGTGAAGCGTGGAACAATGCAGAAGAGAGGGTGTTACGGTGTTAATATTAAGTACATATTGGGCAAAACTTATGTCAGTGAAGATCAGATCTCTGTAAGGCTACCAACTGTCCTGATTTTCCTAGGGCAGACATGATTTTGGGTACAATCCTGTATTACTAATGCTTTGCCTACCCTGGAGATGCTCGACCAGTTGTGCATCGCCTCTTGGGGTATCCTTGATGTAGTCAGCTGGCAACACGATCCAGGCTGAAGCTAGCAATGTCCGGGTCTTAGGCTCAACCTGTATTTTGAGCAGGTGCCTATCCTCTTCAGTCTCCAGCCACATCAGTTCCCGCTGCAGGCCTGGGGACTGATAGTTGTTTGTACAGGAGGTCAAACCAGGTTGTTCCTGCAGTTCAGATGTCACCGCGTTCTGACGGGAGCGTTTCTTTGTGTTTTCAGACAGGGTAACGAACAAAAACGAGAAGAAGGACGAGCGGGGGAATAAAGACAATAAAGAAACTGGCAAAAGCAAAAGCAAAGAAGGCAAAGCTGGCAACAAAAAGAGGAAGAGCCAGCACCGAGGGACGGCTGCCCCAACGATCACCCCCAGCATCAGCCAGTAGCCTCGTGACAGTGTGACCCAGTGGGGTGCTGCTATGCATTAAGATGCTTTCACTGAACTGGAGGATGGGCTGCAATAACGAACACTAGAACGACGGACAGAAGGGAGGAATATGCAAAGGACTTCAACGGTGAAGCGTGAAACAATGCAGAGGAAGAGAGTGTTACAGTATTAATATTAGGTACATATTGGGCAAAACTGATGTCAGTGAAGATCTCTTTATTGAAGGCTACCAACTGTCCTGATTTTCCTAGGGCAGACATGATTTTAGGTGACATGTCCTGGAATCCCCACCAGCGTGTGTTTGTCCTTTTGAATGGCTGCCTGTTTTTGTACCATTTTCAAGGCGCACGTGTGCTTGCCCACAGGCTGAGCAGTAATGAGGCACCACAACAACACCCTCGCAGTGTGGCGTCTGTACTCTTTATCAGGTGTGCGTATCTGCGTATGAACCGAGGAGTTCATAGAACAGGAGTCATCATTATAGAGAAATGGCCCCCTTCGTGGTGTGTTGTCACCCTCAACCAAATTACCCTAGACTGCCCCAACTCTTGAATACAGAACCTGGCCCTTCTGTATTCCTACACTCCCTACCCCACCCCCAGTGACATGTCCTGGTTTTAGGCCATACATAGTTGGTAGCCTTATTGTTGTGATGTGATAGAGAAGCAGAGGGATGAAAAAAATTCCTTTCACCCATTGCCTAGGCCTCATTCATAGATGGTTTCAGTTCAGACACTTAGCTCTTTTTAAAATATTGACACACAGTGCTTTTGAGATTCACCTAAAATAGAGGCAAAGTTCTGCTCAAGTTGTTTAAAGTTAATGTGAGATAAAAGTGATCAGTATTAAGATGTTTTTATTTTTTGATAAAAAAAAGAAAGGCACTGGAACTCATTTGTGGTTTGTTGACACAAAATCATATTATAATAAACAAAACATAAGGAATTGTTAAAAATTGTTACTGTTGTCAGAAAGAAAATACCATATAACTGCTTTACTGTTTATTTCCTACAACATATTGTACACAATTTAGTGGGTAAAAAAAACATAAAAGAAATGTAAATATGTACAGTTGTGCTCTTTGTTGAGCGTCCTGTATCTGATTCTGTTGAAAAAAATAGTTTTGGTATTTGAGGAGGAAACAAAAATTGTGATAAGACACAATTTTTAAGATAATAAAAGGCCTGTGATATTATCTGTAGTCCCACCAGCAGAGTGGAATGGGCAAGTTCAGACAAATTGAATGCCTTTTATTTTCTATACTCTACAAAACGTTATTGAAAATACAGTTCCTTTATTATACAGCCAGTGTCATGTTATGCGAATGTTTGCTTATGATTGAAAGGACCAAATCATTTTTGTACATTTTACAATGTTCTTTACCAGTATTTGTTCATCACATCATCTGCTTTTATCGGGATAATTTGCTTTACACCAAATATTAGTGTAAGATGGTATTATTTTTTTTTCCTAAATTGGATTGTGTCACCGAATGTCGTCTGGGCTCAGTGAGAAAATATCTAATATTACTCGCAAATGCTGTAGTAACAGTTAAAGAGGTTTCCATATTTACTTTATCTTAATAAAAGCTCAAATACAGTAAACACTTGGATCAGATGGGTTTCTACGTATTTTCTTCATGTTTCACTGGCATCTGTGTCGTGGTTCAATGACAACACAAAAAATTGAGCAAAACGATTTTCAGCTCTTGTGCTGCGATTCCGGTTCTAGAGTTACATTTGTTAATGACTGCTGTTCTCTTTCGCCCCAAATAGGTGTTCACAAGGAATAATGACAGCCACGAATTAGATACGTTTGAGAATGTGATGTGTATCGAGTGTTTAGGAATACTGTATAGGTATAGTTTAGGTAGTATACTGTAGCTATAGGTACAGTGTATAGGTATAGTCATTTGGCTTAAGCCCCTTGATGAGGGGGCTGGAACCCGAATTCAGAGCAAAAGGTTTATCACAAGGCAGGTCCAAAGGTGGAGATACAGTAGGATGGACAATTGTGATGTGTATATATAGCTTTCGGGAAATTATGTCAGGAATTATTATAATTTCAAACAGCTGGGGTAAAAGTGACTTAGTTGTTGTCACCCTTTTCGGGGAAAAAAAATTGCTTTTATGAGTATATAACTGAAGTGAGAGAGCAAAACCAAACCCTTAACTGTGTCCAGCAATGTATAAATCTGGGTTCTGCGTTCCCTTTTCTCAGTTAGGACTTCCTGACGTTCCAATTCAACATTCAGCAGCTCCTAAGGTGACTTGGTGTTCGAGGCTTTTCTCCTGAAGCTTCTCTTGGCCTGGATACTGACAGGAGGCAGCAACATGACTGCCCATTCATCGCTCGACCAGAAGCTATCTCTTGGCTCAGTGACTTTGCTCAATAAATTCAACAGCTGCTTGATTCTCCTCCTAGTGGAGGTGTGTAAAACTGTTACAATGGCCTCATCCTCAAGGCCAGGCTGTTGTTCCCTCAGCCAAGTGGCATGGCAACAAATTGGATTCTGAAATTGCTCACTCACAAAGCCACTTAATCCTAGGTCAGTCCAAAAATTTTAACTTAAATTTATTGGATGCAAACACCACATGGGCAAACAATGGTGTTTCTGTTGTCAGGTTGACCATACATATACAGTACTTCCCTCTAACGATGATTTGGTGGTGACCAGGTCAAGGAGAAATTACATATTTTGTTTCCTGTGGAGGATACAGTATGCTCTATGTGATGACTCTGCTATCATAGTGAATGATAGCATTCGCATATACATTTTTTATGTAAAAAATTTAATACAGTTGTGCTAAAATTCTTTTTTGCCCTCAATTCTAAAAGAACTCACATAATGGACTTCTTTGCACACAGGTGCTAAAATTGTCACAATTCTCAGCTAGAGCAATACATTTTATGACACTGAAACAGTCACAGAAAAGATTACAAATAACACAATGTGTGAATAGGGGATTTAAGTCACTATTCCACCATCAGGTCCCAAGATAACGACCTCAAAATGAACACTTTAGAAAGTTTTATAGTGGCCTAGAGGGGTGGGAAATGACTTGTGAGTTATTTCCTTGGTTTTGTTAGATTTTGGAAATCACACATGCTGTCATTGAAAATCATAAAAACCTTTATGTTACATAGCTCATTTCATGACATTTCAAGGCACTTAGGAGAAAAAAAGGTATCCCAGCTAAGAAACACAAAATCTTACAACAACAGAAGTTTAACCATTCATCAATCGATTTTCCAATATACTGTATAGTTGTAATTAACAATAAACACGTAGATAGGGCATAAAAAAGCTATACTTTTTAGTTTTTGGCTGGAGTTTATACCGCACCAACCACAGGAGCCCTCCTGTAAAAAATATACTAAATGTTAATATAGTTTGGATGATATTGAAACTGTTCTGAACAAAATTTAAAATTTAGTACAGTTAGTACGGTCGGCAGTGTGATCTGTAGGTTCAGATTTGGTATCGGTTATACTGCTGTTACTACTGGTACTTCTGGAGTTAGCAATGGTTTTACTATTGAGCAATGTCATCAAAGCTCAAAACTAAGATCAATTGGAACTTAAAAATGTTTTTACGTAAAAATCCATGTTTGTTTTTATAGAGAATCTTTCACAAAATCAATCACTTTGAAGATATAGAAATGAAAAGAATAGTGCAAAACATATAACAAAGTGTTCTGAAAGGAAAATATGCATATACAAACTACAGTATACATAAACATAAAAACATCTATATATATTAATATGTAGTACTAATCATTTAAGATAATAATTCTCAGTATTGTGAAATCCAGCCTGTAAAAATATGACTCTGGCTTTTTTTTAAACCGTACAAAGGGTGGTAGATTATTTTGTCACTGTGGGGGGTTAAATGTCAGTGCTCAGCTAAACACTGTTTTTCTGTGCACATTTGGACCCTGAGCAGGGAAGGATTCTGAAAGGCAGACTGAGAACACATTGGATCAATAGATTTTTAGGTATCAGTGTGTGGACCTGTAGAACTTAATATCTCACAAGCGGGATTGTACCCACGCCGCTGAACTGGAAGAAGTGGTTAGAAAATGGATGGAACCAGGATTTTAACACACTCCAGAATCAAGAAGGAAGCCAGTGGCAGTGTACCATTAACATGGTAATGCTCAATTGTTTTGGTTCTTATTAAATCTCTGGCAGCAAGCATTTTGCACAAGTTCCAATCGTGAAATAATATGACATATAATAATTCAGAGGTTCCAAAGAAAAGTACACTAAAATAGTCCAGCCCTTGCTATATCTGATGTGGGCACTGATATCTCAGTACAAAAATAGAGCAAAACTATTATTATAGCGTATTTGTAAATATCTGTTTAGCAGATTCGAGACCACTTTCTTTACACTGTACATTTAAATAGAAACTGAAGATCAGAAACAGGCCCAAGATTATTACATTAGGATGGAAGCCACTTTTTTAAGTTGTGGTTTAAAAACAGCAACCTTTAGAAAGCAGAGGCAGACCACAATGAGCCATTAATGATACTAAAACTGTTGTACTGATCTTTGGAAATATTTCCTCCAGAATTGCAGTTGGAACAGTGTTTGTAGAACTTGTGGTAAATTTCATCTCCAAGGCTAGATTAGAAGGAAAGACAAAAGTAAATACAAGTTACCTCAGTCTGGCCAACAGTAAAAATAGTGAATGTTTCAGAAATGGTTTTACTCATTAGCACTCCTAACAATTTTTGAAAATCAGGAGCTCTCTGTCTTGGGTTACAGTACCTCAACAGAACCTGCTAATGACTCATGTGTGGTGAGGTTTTTCCCTTTGCAGACCCTGGCTCTCAGTCCAGCCTTGGTGCTGCAGTGCTCCAGCTCTTTGCAGACCCTGGCTCTCAGTCCAGCCTTGGTGCTGCGGTGCTCCAGCAATTTTGCAGACCCTGGCTCTTAGTCCAGCCCTTGTTCTGTACACATATGGGCTACTGTGGCTGGTGTACAGTATATACTTCTACAGTTCCCCAAGGAAGTGGCCATGACTCATGGCTCTCGTATCTCACATAGAGGGGATTTATAGTTCTAGGAATGCTTTTAAAGTCTTGTTTATGAAATTAAGTGAATTAGAAAGTAAGAGATTGTGGGTAAATTCATTAAAAAAGCTCTTCTAGAAGCCTTTCCTTTTTAAATGAGTTTTTGATGCCCCAGCAGAACAATGCTTGCACATCGTATAAATATCTATGTGTGTGGCATTCACTGGAAGTGTTCTCAAGCCCTCTTGTTGGTTTGAAAAGGTAAATGTGAAATGAACAGGCCATGGGAGTTTGCAAAAAAATATACCACTGACTTGTAATTACTGCAGCTGGGTTTGCTGGAGCAGGTGATCACAGAGAAGTGTGGAATGGAAATGTGAATGCCTCAGTATTGGAATTTGTCTTCCTTTCCAAGCCTATGGATTCCTTTTGTTTGTGACACAACTTGCTTATTTCAAATCGACAACTATGTAATATTTGGCTGTTAAACGTGATTTCATTGTTGCTTCAAGATTGTTCACACTACACTTTATATTTTAGCAGTATGAATAATAAAAAGCTTAATTGATTATTGTATGAGACTTAACACACTCATTTCTCTTATTTAATGCCTACTGAGATGAATTACTGTATGTTACACTGTTGATCTTTTTAAGGTGTTTCTCTGTATTTATGGTCAGCCATTTATGGCTTTCAGTCCAGTATAAACTGCTGTAAGCACAAGAGCACCAAGATATACAGTAGATGCACAGTCCATGAAAACATCACACAAGCACCATACGCAACTCTACTAAACCATTATAAAATCATAGTATCACACATGAATAGAATGAAACAGTATGAAATGGAGTGCTGTGCCATGCCTAAAAGTGTGAAATTCGCAAGGAAACTATAGTTATCCACTAACAGATTTAATTTTGCTGTGAAAATCAATTTCTTATAATGGGATAAATAAAAGTCATAGACAGGGAATTTCTCCTTCAGAGAAAACTTCAGCAAACTATAGTTATCTACCTCCAGATTAAATTATAATGTTAACTCAAACTAATTAAACATTTGGCAGAATTATCTTCGGGATAATTCCCCTTTTACATCAATTTACAGTATTAAACATTGATCGTTTTATTGGGACTTGGGGTGTGGTTAGTTTAATCCTGATCCTCTGGCTCCACTACACAACTGGACAACTAGCAAGCACCTACAGTTTCTCTGCTCTTTAATGAACAAGAGAGTGAGAATGAGCATAGTTTGACAGTGGAATGTCATTCTATCAGACTCCAGCATACAAGTAGCTCTCGTCCATATATTAAGAAAGTATCCATCTTAAAAACAGCTGGTCAGTTCGGGATGTAACCTAAATCCCAAACTTCCAAAGCAAAATATTATGACTTAAAAACCCTGCAAGTTGTTGTATAGAAGAGTAACAGACAGTAGTTTAGAAACACAAACAGTAGAATGTCTGCATAAGCTTTGAGTTTCACACCTGATCCTGGAGAGATGCTGTATCGTCTGGTTTTCATTCCACCTTGGACACTTAATGACTTGATTCAGAACAGTCGTTCACTTAACAGGTCTATCTGACCACTGCT